TTACACCTGGCAGGAAGGAACTGGCTGCTTTGCAGTTTTAGGTGTGGGTCATTTGAAAACCAATCCCCAGACCCAGCTCCAGCCTGGGTAAGGACCGTGCCCACCCGGCCTCATGACTCCCTGGGCTCGTGGGGCCAGGATGAGACCATTCAACCGGCTGGAGGCCAGTGCCACCCGGCTTCGCTCACAACGAGAGGGGCAAATTTTGGGAAGGGCCATGCCGAGCAATGGCTGTCCCTGTACCAAATGAACCTGCTATCGCCCTGGCCACTCAATGCTGGCAAGACCTCCCCACAGCCAACATTGAGCTTCAGGTGTCAGGCTTCATCATAAATGGCCCCTTAGAACTGCCTGGCCCACGTCACACACACCTGCCGCCTCCTGGACACTGTCCTGGGTCTAAGTGGCCATGGGACTCACACCCAGCATTGAGAACAGCTCTGTGGCCAGGGCATTCTGCCACTGCATCTTACCCACCACGCCTTGTGACACTTGTGTCCCCTAACGCATCTGACCACCAGTGACACTCATGTCCCCTAACGCATCTGACCACCAAAAGGGGCAGCCTGGTCATACGGCACCACCCTGGACACCAGATGAGCTCCTCACCGCCCGAGGCACCTCGGTTACTAAAGGGGGGTCTTAGTGTCCCCCAGGGCTGGGTTTGGCTCAGAGGAGGGAGAGGATGAAATGCTGTGAGCCATGAACATCATGATCTTTGTCCTCTAGCGTCCAGGCAGTTCAGAGGAAAGCCACCGATGCTGGGCCCAGCAGTTGGCCTAATGGGAACCACCAAGTCCACCGTGGTTCGAGTCCTGGTGGTTTATAACATATCAGGCGCGTGTGCATACACACCCAAGATCCTGAGAGGAGAATGGAGAAGGGATTGCAGTGTGGCCATCCCCCTGGGGGGACATCTCTGTCTCGGCAAGTGGATGCGTCCTGTAGCAAAAAAAAAAAAAACAAAAACAAGAAAAAGAAAAAGAAAGCCACTGATGCCGCTGTGGGCTGCTCTTTCACTAGCTTCCTACTCTGGCCACAAACCCAAGCCTCATGCCAACCCTACTGGCAAGGCTGGCTGTGCAGCACTGGGATCGGTCTGCACCGTCCACACAACGGCGCTTGCCGTGCCCGGGACGTCTCACCGGCATGCCTCTCCTTTTCTCTGGTAGCTTCCTGTCTCCCCACCAGTCCTTGGCCACCAGGTGTCCGAGCTCCTCACTGCTCTGCTATCCTTCCCCGTGGGCCAGGGGCTTTATCCACACCACACACACACCAGGGCTGCAGGACACAGTTTCCTGTCTAATGGGCCTGGCCTGCCCCAGCTCAGCTGCTGCCGGGATCCACACGGACACCTCATGACACAGCCTGAGATGATGCCGACACGTGGGCAGCTCTGCTGTTCCCAGTCGCTGGCGGTCACCGGGGTTCTCACATGAACCAGGTCACAGGACCCGACTTGGATAGAGATATGGCAGGGGCATGGCACCTCGTGCCTTATTTCCTAGCGCTCTGGCCAGCTGAGATCAGGGTAAGCAAAATCTGTCCCATTTAAAACCACATATACAGGGCCAGCAGGTGGCATGGTGGTTAAGGCACTAGACTCCTGCATGGCCGACCACGGTTTGAGTCCTAGACCCAGTGACTTAAAAATCATGCCAGGCGCGTGTGCATGGGTGCCCAGGACCCCGAGACGGGAATAGAAGGGACTGCAGCGTGGCCATCTCCCCTGGGGGGAGGTGACTTCTCATTCTCCCCCACCCCGTCACTCTCTGACAAGTGCACACACCCTATGGGCAAAAACTTACAAAATAAACAAACAGCGTGGCCATCTCCCCTGGGGGGAGGTGACTTCTCATTCTCCCCCACCCATCACTCTCTGACAAGTACACACACGCTATGGGCAAAAACTTACAAAATAAATAAATTGGAACCAGCAGTTACCGTAATGGCTATGTCACCGAACTCCCATGTAGTCAACTGCGGTTCGAGTCCAGGACCCGGTGGCTTAAACTCACTCCAGGCACATGTTGCATGCATGCCCAAGATTCTGAGAGGAGAATGGAGGAGAAGGGATTGCGGCATGGCCATGTCACCCGGGGGGTGATTTCTCACTTTCTGTCTCTTTGTCTCTCTTTCTGGCGAGCGCAAGTGCCCTACAGCAAAAATCTCTCAAAAACAAACAAACAAAAAGACAAATAAATAAATAAACCCCACACACGAATTCCTTCTACATAGTCTTTCACATTGTAGGCCACGAAAAGAGGACACAGACTGACAGCTGAGGCCAGTCTGTCACACCCACGGCCCAGGACGGCAGCCGCTGACGCTGCGGCCATTGCACACTGAAAACGCGCCTCGGCCCCGAGAGGTGCTGCACGTGTGAACACCCGCCGGGTTTCAAAGACGTGGAACAGAAGCGCAATATGGAGATACTCCAGTGGCTTCTGGCATGGAGTACGTGCTGAAGGGATGATACTTCGCACCTGCCAAGATACAGCAGGCTTGGTAAAATCCACTATAAAAATGAACTTTCCCCCTTCATTTAAGAGTTATTTTTCACACAGTCCCAGAAAACGCTCCCGTACGTGGCCCGCGTGGTTTGCGGGAGGCGGCCTGCCACGCCAGAGCCCTCTCTCCAAGATAACAACGCGGTCTCCCCCTTCTGGGGTGCCCAGCTACTCCGATCTGTTCTGCCTTCCGACTCACATTTCGCCGTTTTATCCAAGAGGATATCCTAAGAAAACTGCCAGATTTCGTCAATGCATATTTTCTTATTTTTATAATTGCCAGAGGGCACGTGTACTTTTGGGGGGAAGGAAAAGACACCCCCAGTGAGGCGTGGTCACACCTCATCCCTTCCCTCCATTTCCCCATGCTGTTGTGATATGGGGCATGCACACACATGCACCCGGCATATTTTTCAAACGATCAGGCTAGGAGAACAAAGAGACTGCGGTGTGGCCACACTCCCTGGAGGGGGTGGTTTCTCACTCTCTCACCCTCTGTCTGTCTCTGTCACTCTGCTGCCCCTCTCTCCATCCCATCCACAGCGATGCTCGCTAGACAGGAGCTGGGCGTTTCTTGACTCCGGGGCTGGCGCTGCCCGGCCTCTTCCTTCCTTAGGTCTTCAGCCAAGCCACAACAGGCCCTGTGGAACCTGGCTCCCCTAACCACGAAGCCATGGGACCAGCCCTCAGCCCATAATTCCAAAGCACTTCTTCCACTGGAACCTTTTAGAGAGCAAACCTGAGAGGCTGAGCCCCGGGGCCTGACGGCTGAGCCCAGCAGACACCCAGGATGGCTTCAGCAGGTCACCATTTCCCTCGTCCTCCCCTAGTCTAAGACCAATTTCCATAGACGGTGATCCCTACTCAAGGAAAAAATGAACATAAACAAGCACGCACGATGGTCTCTGCAGGATCCGAGGAATCAGCGGCTCAGTGCCTGTGTGTAACTTGGAGCCTGAGACCAGAATGGGAGCTTAAGAGCTTGCCGAGCTGGGCAAATGAACAATTTGCACGCGGTCTCAGAACCTTTTTTTATTTAGGAGTGCTTGATTTGCCTCTGGACAAACAGCACCTCCCAAAGAAACATGGACTTGAGAGTCCGGGAACTCCAGGCTGCATCATGGCTCCATCTGCTGCTACTTCTAGGGTTCTGAGAATGTTCTGGAACTTCTGGGTTTGCTCCTTTAACTCCACCTGCTCCTCTAAGTTCGTGTGGGGTCAGGGTCAGGAAGGACAGCCTGAGCTGCACCACCCCGTCCCTGCCGCCGCTCCCCCCATCCCATCCGCAGAGGCAAGGACGCTCACTGGTCAGGGCCGCTGCTTCTCCTGACTCCGGGGCTGGCGCTGCCTGGCCTCTTACTTCCGTCAGCTATTCACTTATCTCTTCCACAAAAGGCACACAGAGACGGCCACTCCCAACAGGGTCCCCCTCGTGCGCCGTTGTCCCCTCACCGAGTGAAGACCAGCTGTCCATCGCTTTCAGGGAGAAGAGTCCTGTTGCTGGAACTGGATCCACTCCCTTGAACTGGAGGTTCAGACCCCTGCCGGCCGGTATCAGCACCACAACACAGCGCCTTGCAGAGATGCCGACACCGTGGGACGCCTGCACCCTGGACCTGTCCTGACGCTGCCTTGAAATAAATCTCCCTCCTCCTGCAGCCGTCCATGCCCCCGCAATGGGCCGGGGAAGCCCATCCGCACTTCACAGCCAGCCTCTGGGCCAGGTCAGAGGTCAGCGTCAGCCCAGAAACCACAGAGCCACGTCGGATGTCTCCAGATCCTCGAGTTGGAAGGCTGGGGCTGAGGACAGGGGCAGGGCTGGGTAGCCTGAGCCAAAGGCAGACAAGGTCCTGACGGGCCAGAAACCCAGAGCAATACGGAGAACGCCGTAGCTCACGAGGCACTGACAACAGACAGGAGAGTGTGCAGTCTCTGAGACAGACAGACAGACACAGGAGCCGCTGCCCTGACTCGCCCCCCCTAGAAAACCTGACCCTCCTGCTGCTGCTACTTTCTTTTTTAGAGAGATTTTTTGCTACACGGCGTGTGCGCTCACCAGAGAGACAGAAAGAAAGAAATCACCCCCCATAGGGGATGGCCACACCACAATCCCTTCTCCTCCAGTCTCCTCTCAGGATTTTGGGCATGCTTGCACAAGCATCCAGTGTGAGCTTGAAGTGGCTGGGTTCGGGACGTGAACCCAGTTGACTACATGGGAGTCCAGTGATGTAACCATTTTGCTGCCTGCTGGTCCCATAACCCTACTGACTCCACTGTTGCTGCGTGAGTTCCTGGCCCTGCAATTAAAGCCAACGTCAATCAAGACACATCTCCATGTGTCCTGCACCCGAGCCTTCTCGTCCCCTCGGTGGCCCCGAGATTGTAAAAACAGACAAGGCACCTGCCGGGTGCTGGGCCGAGGAGGAGAGCGCTCTGATCCTGCTGTGTTGTAAATAACCACACAAACGCCTGTGCCCACCCCAGGTGCTTTTCTCAAGAGGAAGTTTATTGCAGGTTGGGTACACTTGTGGAAGGCAAAAATTTAACAATGAGGGTGAACTAGGAGCCCGCCGTCTGGAAGCCGAGCGGGAAAAACAAACACAGAGTATGTACAACATTAAAAAGAGCAGGTGGGAGGAAAACTGCCAGCAGCCTTCCAGAGGGGAGTGACAGACGACGTCCCAGGAGCCCCTTCCTGGCCCGCCCCGACCACCTGGGTCCAGCTGGCTCCTCTGCGGTTTCCGGCCCAGCTGCAGGTGAAACGCAGAAGATGCCAGTGGACACTGTGGCCACTCAGGGGACACCGAGGCCACTCCCTGCCGTAATGCCTGCTGTGAAGCTCACCATGGGAGAGGCCCCACGCACCACGCCTTCGCTCACCCGGGGTCGCCTCGCTGGCGTTCCCTAACACACACGTGGGAAGGGGTCACACATGATGGCCAGGGAGGAAGCGTCCTTCTCCCGTGGCCTCTGCACAGAGAAATGCCTGGAGCTGTCTCAGGGAAGCCCGGCACCCCGTGCCACATGGCCGTGTAGCCGGCTGGGCCGGGAAAGCACTTCCCAGAGTTTGGGACCAGCGTCCAGACCAGATTGTCCTCTTGGCTGCTCGTGTCTCCTACTAGGAAGCCAGTCTCCTCGGGCCACCTTAGCAGGAGGGCGTCCTATAGCCTCTCCCAGGACACCCGCCACGGGACAAATGCAGTTCTACGTCCTTTGTTTTAAAAAAGGAGCACTTGAGTCACTTAAATAAGGAGAGGCGTGGGTTCATCCAGAGTGTTTCTATAAAAACGCATTTAATGCTGGATAAAGTCGCGCATTCTCCCAGGAAAGCCGCAGAACGTCCGCTGAACTGAAAACACGGATGATTTAAAACGCGCCCTTCCGAGCATCTGTCACCAGAGCCAACTCGGAAGGAGAAGGCAGAGCCCAGCGCGCGTGGCGAGGCCGGGCCCAGCCCTGGCCCCAGCACCAGGCTCGGGACACCGGCCACCTTGCAGCCAAGCCGTCAGGAGGGAGGAGAGGGGGACAGAGGCCAAGCGGGGAGCAACTTCAGCCCGTCTGCAGGAGGCTCAGTCCCGGTGGCGCCGCCAAGTCCCCGCGCGCTCTCGGCTGGTGGCGTTGGCGTTGGGAGGACAGGAGGCGGTGGGGGGTTCCGGAGGGGCTGGGGCTGCCTCCTGGGTCACAGGGGGCTTCTCGGCCAAGGGAGGAGCTGGAGAGGCCCGCTCAGGCCCCGGGCGGCCGCTGTCATGACAGTGCTTGCTGCAGAAAATCTGCCCCTCCTTATCGAGAGCCGTGTTCTGCAGAGAGACCAGAGAGAGACAGTGAGCAGCCCGGCTGGGACGCAGCGCCACGACGGCGCACACGACAGAGCATGCACGACTCGGAAGCGAAGAGGAGAGATAACTCCCGGGGACCTGGTGGAGAGGCCTGGGCTCGGGGCGCTGTGTGGGGAACCACCACCTCTACTCTGCCCCTGCCAGACCCAGCCAGGGGCAGCGGGGTGGCAACAGGGTCTGGGGACAGCAGAGGCCTCTCCTCTGGCTGAGGACCTGGCCATGTTCTACTCTTGATTCCCAAAGCACCCAGGGGCCCCAGTAAACCCCTCCAGGGTGCTCGGCCTTCCATGGCCACTTTTCTAAAGGAGTTTCCTTCCTCCTCTTGAAAAGTCATTCCCAAGTCAAATAAACCAGGACGCCCCTTCCAACCCCGGTGGCTGTATTATCTGCAGGAGCCCCGGAGTCACTGGCAGAAACAATGGTGTTCATCTTTTTGAACTCAGTGAGAGCCTCGGCCACTCTGCTCCGGAGCGAGGAAGGACTTCACCTCCTCTCCTCTGCTCGCCACGGGGCATGGAGGAAACGGCCACACACATATCCCTGCTCCCACCTCCTCCACTCAGTCTGCACATTTCTGGCTCTCCAGGGTGCCCCATCTAGCTGCTGTCTCTGGGCTTTTCCAAACAGGGACATGGCTGTGCCCAGGGGCCTTTGGCTAAAAGGGACAGGGAGCAGGAGGCACTCCGTAACCTCACTGCCCCGGGGAAATACTGCAGACCCGCTCAGCACTTCCTCCGAAATGAAGCAAGTTCTGCAGAAAACGAGCCCAAGCACGGGCCCCTGCCGCTGGCATCCGCCCCAGAGAACACCTGCCAGGCTCAGGCTCCATGTGGACAACCCCATTTACCTGTGGAAGCCTAGTGAGAAACTCAGCTTCCAGAATCCCCTTTTTTCCTACCACACTTTTCTCCCCCGTTATTTCTCCTTTTCTCTTCCTGCCGAGAGGACACGCACGTGCGCAGCAGAGGCGGTTTCGCAGAGCGGTTAGTACATACCATGGCCCGGGACCTAGGCGGGGGGAGCAATGCAGGCGGCGGGAGAGGCCAGAGAGGGAGGAGAGAAGCGGGGACAGAAACTAGACTTACTGAAAACAGAAGCAACACGGTTCAAACAGTTTTGTCTACCGTACACCAGCCCAGCTGGGTCCCCATTCACCCTGAGAGGAAGCGCACTCCCCGGAGTGGAGGAACCAACCCCTGCCAATTCACCTTTCTCCAAACTGTGCCGCCAAGTTGCAGAGGGAGGGAGCTTTCCTGGCATTCCCCTTCCTGCCACAAGAGGGCCCCCTCTGGGCTCAGAGGCCGAGATGGGCCCACGGGGATGACCAGACCCCCAAACGCGTTGCTCTTCCCTTTGCAAGCAATGGACGAGGCCGAGAAAATGGAAACTAAAACTAATCTAAAAGTCTGAAACTAGAACCTCCAATATAATTATCTTCTCTTATCCCAAAGGCTGGCTGGCACTGCCCTGGCTGGCTGAGAAGACTCATCTTCGGAAACAGCGGGAAGAGAGAACAAAGGCACCCATCCTGGGCCATCTCCTATAAAAAGGTGGTGTCACCTAAGTGGCAAACAGCACTTAGCAGAACTTCTGGACCCCTCCTGGGCTGTGGCAAGCTGCAGCATTTAAGAGAGTGTCCCGAGGGCGAGCGTGGTTGGCTGAAAGGGTGCCGGTGGGCAGGGCAGGCCCGCACCCAGGGGCAGCTGAGCGCGGGGCGGTGTCAGAAGTCGGAGACAGGCATGCACGTGTCAGGGCCGGGGCGAGGGGCTCTGATCAATACCAGGGTTCTGCTTCGGGATTTCCCATAGTCTCAACTGGGTTAAGCATGAAACTCTGAGGTGTCTCTCACACTGTCAGATCAAACTGTTGAATAAAAGGCGGGCAACAGCGTCAGCTCTGCTTTCCTTCCCCTTCGTGCACCAACCTCGCTCCTGTGAGCTCCTCACCGGGGCCCAAAAACCAGCAGCGTGGTGACAGGGGCGAGGACGCTGGGGTGGCAGCAGATGGGAAGGCGGGGCCTCAGAACACGCACGGGCACTTTCACTAGGGTTTGTATCTGCAGGATGCCATAGTGACCTCATGGCCTCCAGTTTCGAGGACTGTGAGTACCAGGGAGAATCAGTTCATGGTTAATTATTTTTAATATTAAAAAAAGTGCAGTACTATTCCCCTAGGCAGGACATGTTGACACTGTCACAGTAAGGAGGGTGGGAGTGACCCTGAAGAAGTGTCCTTAAGTCTCCCTGACAACCGCACCCCAGCCAGGGCCTCCTAGTGAGGATGGCAGGAGGCCGCCTCCTCACCGCCATCGGGAACAGGCCAAAGGCTGGCTCTGGGCCACAGGAATGGGCACCAGCAGAGGCAGGGGTGATGGTTCTCCTGGAGGGGCTGAGGATGGCAATGCCATCCAGGAGCCTCAAGCTAACCGCCTCAGAGTGGTGCAGGGAGCGTGGGTTAGACGGGCCCTGCGGACACGCGCAGGGTGACACCTGATCACACGTGTCAGTGCATGGCTTTGACAGTCACCGCTGGAGCCGGAGCAGTAAAGGCTTGCATATCACAGGGTCCAATGGGAGTCCGGGGGCTGGCGGTGGTCCTGAGCTCCCCGTCAGCTTGGGTGCACAGGTTCTGCGGAGGGGACCTGAGCTCTCTACCCAGCACGGGCCTAGGGAGAACAGCCAAGGCTTCCAGAACCCCAGCTGAGCGTGGGTCACCAACAGGCTGGTGGCAGGACTCTGGCCACGGCTTTTTATCCAGGCCTCTGAGTCGAAAGGGGACCTCAGCAGCGACTCCCTTCAGAGCCACGGTGCGAATCCTCCTTGGCTGAGTGCGGGGCTGGAGAGCTCCTTTCAGGAGACTGAGGGGCTTAGTCAGCGTATTAAGGTCGGATTCCAATACATCTCAAGGTTTTTCTTTACTGTTCTTAATTTTCTAAACGCTCCCAGGAGCTACCTCACAGTGAGTGTGGCAAGGTCCACTCGGCCGTCCCTGTCCATCCGAGTCCTCTGGGGTCTCAGGCTGCTGGCTCACAGGGTGGCTCTTTTCAAAGTCTGGGTGTCCTGACTCCGTGGCAGCTCTGACTTCCCCGGACTTTCAACAAAGCACCGTTAAGTTGTTAGAACCAACACAACTTGAGACCCTCCCACCCTCGGGCACCGAGCACCCTGCGTCCTGCAAGTCGTCAGAGACCCCACTCGCAAACTCAGGCAGTGGGGGAGGGAGCGGGATGGGAGACGCGGACGTGCAGAGGGCGCCAAGGACGCGGTCACGGGAGAGAAGGGCCCTGTGCGGTCCCGAGGACGTGGGGGATCTCGGTAACCACGGCAGAGCCTCTCACGTCACGGGGTGTGTGTATGTGTCCCAGTGTGTGGGTGTGTCCATGTGTATGGGTGTGTCAGGTATGTGTGTATACACATGTGTCCAGGTATGTGTGTGTCCACATGAGTCCTTGTGTGTCTGTGTGTGTGCAGGTGTGTCTCCAGGTGTGTGTGTGTTCCACGTGTGTGTGTCTAGTGCTGGTGAATGATGTCTAGGTATATGTGTGTGTACATATGTGGGTTGTGTCCAGGTACATATGTGTCCAAGTGTGTGGGTGTGTGTATAAAGTCCAGAGGATTTGTGTGTCCAGGTGTGTGGGTATTTGCATCGGGTCCAGGTGTGTGTGTGTGTGTGTGTGTGTATGTGGGTGTAGGTGTGTCCAGGCATGTGTGTATGATGTCTGTGTGTGTGTGTACACATGTAGGTGTGTCCAGGTGTGTATGTGTGTCTAGGTGTATGTGTATTCAGGTGTGTGTCCAAATGTGCGTGTGTAGTGTCCAGGTATGTGCGGATGTGTCCCAAGGTGTGTGGGTGTGTCCACGTGTGTGTGTGTCCAGGTATGTGTATGTGCATGGAGTACGGTGGTATGTGTGTACATGTGGGTGTGCCCAGGCTTGTATGATGTCCAGGGGTGTGTTGTACATGTGAGTGTGTCCAGGTGTATGTGCATGTGTGGTGCCCAGAGGTTTGTGTGTGTCCAGCTATGTGTGTGTGTGTGTGTGTGTGTTGCTCAGAGGTGTATATGTGTGTATGAACGTGCATGTGTGTATGGCACCCAGGGGTTTGTATGTGTGTCCGTGTGTGTATGTGTGTGGTGTATGGTGTCTAGGTGTATGTGTGTGTCTAGGTGTGTCCAGATGTGTGCGGTGTCCAGAGAGGTGTGTCCAGAGCATGTGTGTGTCCAGGTATGTGGGTGTGTATGGTGTCCAGGTGCACGTGTAGGCATGTGCAGGCATGTGCATGTCCATGTTTATGCATGTGCATGTGCATGTATGAGCATCCTCCCAGTGTCCACCTGGACCTCACCCTCCCAGGTCTGCTCCCTGACGACGTGCAGGGAAGACGAGTGGCCGTCTCTCCTGAGCTGTGCGGAAACCATGACCCTCCCAGAGGTAAGGCCTGTCCGGCGCTGACAGGGACAGGGAGAGAGCTGGGGGATGGCTGTCACCAGCTGTCAGGACCCCAGCCTGTGGGGGATCCAGCTGCTCAGGGCTCAGCGCGTCACCCTACGGATCTGGGAGGCGCCCAGCTGACCGCGGAGGGCGGCCCCTGTGAGTGGGAGCCGCCGGCTGGTTCTACCAGGGAGGATGGAGGGGCCCGGAGCTGGCTTTGGGCGACTTTCCCGGGTCGGAGCTGGCCTCCGTGCTGAGTGCTGCCTCATCTCTGGCCCCGTGGGCGTCTCTGCCCTCACTTTCCTTCTGCTACACTCGCGTCAAAGCCGCTTTCCATCTGAACTGGCTCTGTTGATGTCCTAGGTGGGCTGCCTGAGAAACCTTCTGGAAGGATGGTCTAAAACGATATAGTCACTACTACTGACCTCCGACAAAATTTTACCTAACCCAAAAAGAAAAAAAGTTTGGCTTTTTTTTTTACACTGCTCTGTACTTTTAATAGCCCCCTAACTTTTATAAGGCACTAATTTAAAAAACTAAAATTTGTTTAACTTGGACTATTTCTTATCCCAAATTCCAAAGAATGATTCGTACTTCAAATCATCTGCCTTTGAGGCCGAGAGCAGGGAATCCCACCTGGGCTGGGCTCCTCTCCCCAGGTGAGAGCCCTCAGCCCCTCCGACTGGCTGGCGGACCTGCTGGAGCCCCTCAGCAGCCCGTGCAGGTGAAGCCAGTCTCCTTGCACCACAGCGCGGGGGGAGGTGCGGCATCCTTGTGAGGGGAGCGAGGCTCTCCGCTCCACAAGACTCAGTGGGCTGGGGTCAGGCGGCCTGCTGTGCCCAGAGGCCCCACTTACCATGATGACGGAGACCCCGGTGGTGGTGCTGCTCTGCTTGGGGAGCGCGTTGTGAAAGTGCTGTTTGAGTTTACCTGTCACCTCGGCCTGCATGTTGTTCTCCTGCGAGGCATCGTCCTGCGGAAGTGAAGCAAATGCTGGGGTGGGGGGAGGCCTTCCTTGCAGTCCCCCACTCCTCCTTCCTGAACGAACCCATCTCGTGTAGGATTTCGGACACAGCGGTCTGCAGATAATCGTGACCGCTGGGCAGCGCCCTGCCCTTGGACAGACCCGGCACCATTCACGCCACTCCTTGGGCTTCGGACAGTCCCAGGGGACCGTTCAGGGCTCTAACGGCACAGAGGAGGATGCCCTCAGGCTTCCCAGACCGACCCCCAGCACACGGCTTGGAGTGACCCTCCAAAGAACCCTCAATGTGGAGTGAGCAGACGTTAACAGTTGATGGTTTCACTCAAGGAGTCATTGAATGGTTAGTATTTATTGCTCACAAAGAAGGGGCTGAGCTAGCCAGGCGGTGTGGACAAGGCACTGGATCCCACATAGGTGACTGTGTGGTTCGAGGCCCAGACCCGGCTACTTCAGAAGCATGCCAGGTATGTGTGTGAGCATGCCACAAATCCCGAGAGGAGAATGGAGAAGGGATTGAGTGTGGCCATCTTCCCTGGGGGAGAGAGGCTGATATTCTCTCTCTCTCTCTCTCTCTCCCTTTCTCTCCCCAGTGAGTGCATGCATCCTATAGCAAAAAAAAAAAAAAAAAAAAAAAAAGAATGGGAAGGAGAAAAGGAAAGCAATGGGGCACCTCAGCTAAGTCGCCCAGGAGAGCAGAGAGCTGGGTCCAGCCCTGCACCTGGATGTCCCATGGAAGCAGCACATGGGCACAGAGCCCTCAGTAAACAAAAGCCTGTGACCAGGTATGTTAACTTCACTCCCTGGAGCCTCCGGGAAATTAGGGAGATGCGAAGTTCTCCATGGTCACCATTCACTGGACCCTATCTACTGTAACCCCAGAGGCAGCACCTGAGCCCAGGGGAGTTCATGACACCACCAGCCACTGCCGGCTCTCAGGGGAACGTGCCCCAGCCTCCCACCAACACAACGGGTCTCCTGACCAAGCACCATGAAGACGCAGAGACAGAATCTGAAACCTGCTCAGCTCCAGGGCAAACCCTGAAAACCCTCGAACTCCAGAACTACAGAAAGGCGAGAGCTGACAAGACCTTACAGGGCATCGCGTCTGGCTCCTCAGTTCTGCACACGAGGACACCGAAGTCCAGAAAGGGACGCAGGCTTGCCCAGGTTACTCTCAGAGCAGGAGCTGAGACTCCAGGCCCTGGGGCCAACTGCTACCTCCCACGGAGCTATGTATAGGCTCCCTATTCATCGGGACAGACAGACGCCATCGCCAGGGAGCCTGGATGCAGCACTTGAACAGACACCACCGCGGTGGACAAGAGGACACTGGCCAGAGCACACAGATCTCCACTCCCGGGAAGGCAGGTACTTACCGACACCCAGGGGTGACTCAGGACCTGCCCCGCAGTACACCGAGCTTCCACGTTTACCTGCAGCATCTGACTGATTAGCTCCTGAAAAGAAACAAAGACAGACGACCGTAGAGGAGGAGGAGGAGAGAGAACGCCAGCGTGGGAATGCAGACATGTGAGCCGGCACCAGCAGCACAGAGCACAGCAACTCGGTGACCAGCCATGTGGGCCCAAACGCTCTGGGCCACCCTGGCTTTACGCAGACCTGACCAACAGCTCACATCCACTGCAGTGCAGAAGAGGAGGAGGTCTCCAGGAAACCGAGTCGTTCTCTCCTCAGCTGCTCCGTGACAGAGCAGTAACGCATTGCTCAAGAGAGGCTGGGTCCCACACAGGAGCTGCAGCTCGAATCCCGGGCCCGGTCAGCCTGAAGCATGCCAGACAGGCGCACAAGGGACTCAAGACCTAGCAGGCGAGCGGACGGAGGAAGGGGACTGCAGTGGGTGGGCTGCTCTGCTTGCTCACACACTCTTTTATACTCTCAAACTCTCCCTCCCAGCGTGCTCTATGGTGAGAAAAGGAAGAAAAAGATGCTCTTTCCTGAGAGTTCTGGTCATGACCATCACCCCACAGCCTGAACTTGCAGCGTTTTTTTCCTTCTGGCAAATCAGTGTCTCATGAGTTTACTGCCTCATACCGATGACAGCCCAGAACACATTCTTGCATAAGTGAAAGCAGGAATTTTAAGCCTAAAGGGCACAGGAGGGGTAGGAAGACAGCTGGGCCAGCTCTCAGAATTTAGTCACCAATTTCAGACTCTGCACTAGCAATGAACTAAAGGAGAACTACACATTAAAAGTCAAGGGGGAGGGACCAGCAGATGGTGTAATGGTTACATCACTGGCTTCCCACAGAGTCAATTGCGGTTCGAATCCCAGACCCAGCAACTTAAAATTCACGCCAGGTGCATGTACATGTGTGCCCAAAATACTGAGAGGAGAATGGAGGAGCAGGGACTGTGGTGTGGCCATCCCACACCCCTGGGGAATAATTTCTCACTTTTTATCTCTATATCTCTGGTGAGTGCACGTGCCCAATAGCGAAAATCTCTTTAAAAAAAAAAAAAAAAAACAGGCAAGGG